ACGAGGTCGAAAATTGAAAGTGAGAATTGGGAGGAGATACCAGGTCAGATCGATAGCCCCGTTGAAGCGTGTTCGAACGCACCTAAAACCGAGTGAATCCGTCGAGAATTCAGCAAGATACGAGCAAGACAAGAGCAGAGATCAAATTTGCTCTTATTTACTCATATTTTTGATCAGTGCCATTAACTATGCAAAGAGCTGTAATATTACCTTCCAGTCAAAATTGAACAAACGCGCAAATTACATCGTGCTCGGAAACGTTTTTTTTTTCAGGCTTTCTTTCGCCGACGGAATTCCACATCGGAAGGTTTGGCATTATGACACTAAAATGGCGACCTCTCACATGCTGCGCTGTCGGCGGTCGACGTCGCGCTCTATTGGCCAGTCACCGTTTTAGAGCACTACGCATGCAATATTTCCCTTTCCAATGGTGAACCGACAGCTCTCTTGCACAATTTCAAACTCACCCTGTCGCTGTACTTGTATTTTGAAATATCCGTGACGTCCGAGCCTCGAAAAATCAGGGCGGTAAGATCTCGGCCAGCAGGATGGGCGCCAGTTGTTTGCTATTCGAACTTTTCATGATTCATTGCTTCGATTTTGTAGACGGAACAGTCCAGCGGTTACTCCTAGCACACTCTGTGGCGGCCGGTGTTGAGTGGACAAAACACGAAAGACGCTAGTATTGGAGGACACGTTGTCCGATCACTGTTGATGCGAACGCCGCCGGACTCATCTGTCTCTCTCTTATGCAAGTGGTTCGACAGCATCCTGACGGGACGGCACGTACATAACGGGTACACAACTGTCTTGAAGGTTTTCTGTGGGATTTGTTCGTTTAAATTTCAATGTATTCGTCCAGTCGTGTGTAGGACCACGAAGGCTTGTTCGCAGAGCAACAGGTTCGCTGTTAGAGCAATCTGGGGTAACATCAATATTCTCGCAACTCAAGTTCCTTGTCATAGGACACACAATACCTCTGGGTCCCATTACCTCCCAAAAAACCGAACAAAGTGAGGCTCACTGGACGTGCATAATAAAAAGCCCATACGAAACTCCAAATCGAACATCTCCGGCAACTGCCGAGCTCGACTCAACTTGGTTGAAACTTGTCATTTTCACCAATGAAAGGTACAGCACACCTAGGGAAGCATTAGTACCAAGAATTCACAGACCCTACCCGCTCAGTATCATCCGGGAAAAAATTAAGCCGTCGCACGGCCGCGACGGCCGTGGAAAGCCGTGCCGTAACCGTGCCGTTGGTCCTGAGGAAAAATCTCTGACGGCCGTCGAGCCGTGGCTACGGTCACGGCGAACAGCCCTATCAATGTGATAGCACCATGCCCAATTATTTCTCCCCTTGCGAAATAGGTCGGCATCTTTTCTGTCATAAAAAATTGCGAAAACGTCCGTACTCGAACATGGAGAGTCAAACCCGGGCTTCCTCGATAAGAATTACCGATCACGAGGCCATGGAAGTACAGGCTGTGTTGCATTACACCATGTGAGATTATTTCTACACCTGCGAAGGTGAATAAGTTGTGTAGCCCGCTGGCACGGCAGGGCCCGCTATCATAAATTGAGACAAAACTTTGGTGAGCCCAACTCAGTTCAAAATTCCTCCAGGAAATCTCCGACTCTTACAGCATGCCATCTATAAATCATGATTTCAAGGCTGGCCCAAAACTCGCTCAGTCGACGCTCCGCAGCGACCAGCTCGCATTGGGCCCTCTCCGCGTCGCGCAAGCGGCGCGGATATAGGTCATTATGTAACAAGACCATGTTTGCATGGAACTTGCAAAATGCCCTGATATAACTCAACCGAAGTTTGCATCCTGCAGGGGTTTCGAAGTACGCAATGACTCATTGAACTCACATCGGAAGAAGTTCCACAGCAGATCAGGATAGAGGGGCCGGTGAGTTTCAAAATCTAAAGAATTAAAAAACCCATGCATTTTACAACCACCACCCAGTTTATAAAGTTTTATGGAGTACGAAGCAGCGCAAATACAGTTTTATAGAATGCAGCAGAAGTATCGTCGTACAGAATACGGTATGTAATTTTCGGAACAGAACGCTGCTGCTCAAGGCGGAGGAGCAGGAGGTATCGTGGACAGAATGCACAAGTCGTAGGGCACAAAACACTAATAGCTAATCATACTTAAACCCGCCCGTCGGCAGTCCGACGACCGCGGCGCGCTCCGCCGCAAGCAGATCGGACAGCCCGATGTAGTACGCGATGAGCGCGGTGACGATACCGAAGGCGCCGCCGCCGGTTGTCACGCTGTCAAAAGAGGGAGGGTGAGTGACATGAATATTTGTGTGGCATAGAGAAGGAAATGAGACAGCATTTAGGGCGCAGGCATCCAAGCCGGAGCCCACCCAAATTCCAAGAGAGGATGATATACAACCCACCTCGTGACACCGGTCAACGCGCCCGCACCCAGCAGGATGAACGTGATGGAGAGGAAGCCGAAGAGCGCCATGAAAGCGATGGATTTGCGGATGGATGCGATGCTGTTATGAATAAAATTAGCCAGCGAATTGAGAGCGGAACGCGATAAGAGAGGAAGGGGAGAATAATGAGATTAATTGAACAACTGAACGGGAGCAACGCGGAACGCGGAAATTCGAGAAAAGGAGAGGCCCAGAACGCGTCCGTAGGCACGCATCTGCCAACACCGACAGCGCGACCCCACCCCCACAGACGCGTATCAGCATCAATGCGCCTAGCCGGGCCGGCAATTCCCCGGAGGAACCACGCGACCGCGGGGAAATGCCGGACGCGCGTTCGCGGCGCGTCCTAGATATGTCTAGGTGCTAGAACACGTCCGATGCGACAGGGAAGTGGACCCAGAGCGGCAGAGGGCGGTGGAGGTGAAAGGAAGAAAGTGCGGCAAACGGTAAAACGGAGAGCGGAAACTGAACAAAAGCGCGGATGGAGCAAAAACCCCGCACGAAGCGCGCGGAGGTTTCAACCCCACATACGCCTAAACCCAGATGCGCCACAATGAAGACCAATGAAGAAAGGGATGGATCTGGTGATCACGGCATCACCAACGCCTATCAAAAATAACACAAGGGGATGATGGAAAAAAATGCAGTGTCGCAAACGCGATATGACCGGATGGGTGGGCGAGAACAGCAAAAAAAACAGAGAAGAAAGATTTCACTCACAACAACAAGAAGGTTATGATAAACCAGGTCATGAGGTAGATGCCTAGGGCATTCTCGAACTCCGTGGTCGAGGCGTAAGCAGATTGGATGCCAGTGCTAGGGATGAGGATGGCGGCAAAGGACAGCCAGAAGGCGCCGTAGGATGTGAATGCTGCGCACATAATAATATCAGTAATCACATAACAAGGAATGAGGAGAGAAAGGATGCAGATCGAGTCGAGGGTGGAGGAGAAAAGGACAAGCAAAAGCTCACCAGTCGCCCCGAAAACGTTCCCTCTCGGGAACTCCCACATGCCCGCTAACAGCTGTGCGAGACCGCCCGTGAAGAGGGCCATGCCGACGACCACATTCGGCGTCGAGACGCCGCGCGCGGAGACATTGTAGAGGGAGAGGATGAAGGTCGTAGAGGCGAAGGAGAAAAGCCCTAGCGCGGCGGGGTTGGCGACCCCGGTCGCGTGGGTGGCGCCCGTCAGCGCGTTGCCCGCACCTCCGTTGTCCGCGCCTCCGTTGTGGACACCTTTCTCAACATCGGACATTGTGTGTGGGGTAGTACAACGAGGTCAAGAGAGGGGAGAGCAAGAGGACTCGACTGCGTTTATTGTTCCCGCCTCATTTGTATAAGAATCTGAATCGGCTGACTCCTACTAGCTCCTACTAGCGAAATGGAGTTGAAATCCAGCCCATGGGCTTCTTTTTAGGAAACTTTCCATCAAGGTACGCGGTCATTCCCGCGCCCTGCTTCTCCCCGAGCGACGTGGGACTCCGGCGTTTCTCTCCCTGCGATTCCCCGACTCTCCGTCTTGCGCGCGTTCTGCTGCGTTCTGTCGATGGTCGCGGCAGACGAGAAAAAAAAAATCGGAAATTTCAAATTCCCCGCAATCTTGCGGAGCGGGGTAAGTGCGCGTGACGCGGGGCGGCGGTGATCGGGCCCAATAAAATTGTTGTCGCCTCATCATATCATCCGCTCTATACAGATATATCCAGTTCTCGCCCGTTCCAGTTCCTTCATTCCGACTCGGGGAGACCTTGGATGGCTGTACAGTGTATTGTTCCCCGAGTGGCGTTCGTCGGGCAATCTTGAAATTTACGGCGCCATAGGTGAATTGGAATGCCCAGCAATTCCCGATGAAACACCCGAGGCGCAACCGCATGTCACGGCGGTCGCATCATCGTGGCCATAGTAGTTTGCAAGATTAGTGGTCGGGCTTCACATCGGGCGCGGTGTTAGCTTTACTCGGCCTCCGTCGCGTCCGTGTTCATCAGCCTCGCATCTGTCTCTGGCCACACTCATGAGGCCGCCCTGTGGGTCCGTATCCGATGAAATCGCACTCCGTATACTATTGGCCCACCCGCACACACTGCCCGCCCGCTATCGCAAGATCTAGAGATGAATGGCATCGCCACGGAACTACATTCCCGCCCTTGCCCCATGGGTCTCGCGCAAAACTTTTATTCACGTATGTTTGTGGGTCCCCTGCCCGTCCATGTTGTTCCTCTCGATTATTACACTGACGTATCACTCACCTGGCTCGAACACGTTTTCTTGCCATGGATGATCGCCCACTATGCCTGTTCCTTTCCCATTCCCATTCCGATGTACATGGACACCGGAGGTAAGTACAAACTGAAGTGCCGAGAGATGTCGGCATCTCCGAACTGGACTCAGATCCCCGCCTTGCGGCCGCATAGGCTTCATAACACCGCGTTCCGTGTTCGTTCTGCGTATCAACAATTGCTCTCGCAAAACGTGACCGCGTCTGCGTCCAAACCTTTGAATTCGTTTCACCCCCTCAAAAGTTGAAGGTCAAAAGGTATACCAATAATCGGACATGGTGTAATGCAACACGGCCTCTGTCCATTCGGTTTTTCATCTAGATTATGAGGCAGCCCGGGGTTCGACTCCCCGTGTCCGAGTGGAGATGCGCTGGGGTAGTTTTTCTTCCCCCTGCGAACTTATCTTCACAAGTGTCCGAAACATCGGAGGTGGCGCATTCGAATAAAAAGTTCCGGCATTCGTACTTTCTACACCTTTCCACCACTTCCAAAAAATGTTCCTTTATTCAGGTTCAAAACGGTGTAAAATCCTAGGAAGTGTGTCGAAGATCTTTATGTATCCCTCCCTACCGAAGACATCCCTCCGCGGGGGTACTAAAAATGGGATGAGGTGCGTTCCAATTCTATTATCGTGTCTGACGTTCCAATCGCATTCTCTGACCCGAGTCTCAGTTCGGCCTTTCCGCTGCCTCAGAGGTGTTGATTTATCCAGGGAGAAAAGGGTGTAAAACATCGGACTGAATGAAACACGGCCTTAAACTTCTCCCCTGAGTGTGGCAACGTGTTATGCAGCCTGGGGTTCGACTCCCCATGTCCGAGTGAAAAGTCTCGGAGGATTTTTTTCACTTCATCCCCTCCCCTTCCCATCGAAGATACCACTCAGAGGCGTACGAAAATGGGATGAGGTGCGTCCCAATATTCTCATAATGTCGTTCATGACATGACATCCCGGCGGCCATATTCGCGTTCATTTTACCAAGGCACGAACGGCGAAGTTCTGGACCTTTCCATCGCCTCAAAAAAAAAAGAACATCAGACAGGGTGCAAGGGTCCGTCACTTCGGTAAAATTGCACTCTCCGTATACATGTTCTTGGCTCGCCCGAGACCCGCCCGCTGTCGCGGGAGAGCCGAACCCTGAATGATATCGCCTTTCTCTCATAACCTGCCGGAACTACATTCCCGCCTTCCCCCATGGTTCTCGCGCGAGGCTTTATTCTGCTCTTCTCCGTATGTTTGTGGGTCCCGTCTCTCAGCTGGTTAGTATTTCTCGTTACTAATATATATTATCGCACGCGTACCTGCTCGAACACGTTTTCTGGACGATCCCACCTCCCCTCTCGCTTGTTCCGTTCCCTATTCGTTCCCATCCCGCCACCATTCCCATCTATTCCCATTCGACTCGATGTAATGGACACCGGAGCTAGTCGCACCCCCCAAACTGAAGTATTCAAGACATGTCGTTATTTCACTGCCGACCAAACTAGAGTCAGATCCCCGCCTCAATAACACCGCGTTCCTTGTGTGTGTTACGCGTCTCGCGTTAACGCGTTCGAAATTGATCCCACCCGACTTGACCGCGCAAATTCGTCCCGCCCCCGGAAAAAAAAATCCCATCTATTGAGGTACATAGCTCTCGCAGTATAATCGGACATGCGACACGGCCTCTCTTCCTTACGACGGTTCTAAGCACTTATGAGGCAGCCTGGGGTTCGACTCCCCGTGCCCGAGTGGCGTGGTCCCCGAGGCCTTTTTTATTCCCTCCCCACCGAGGGAAGGGCGTCTGATATAACACGTCCGGCGAGACACGATTAATCTCACAGGACGTCACAAAAAAAATCCCATTTATTGGAAAGCAGAGGCATAGAAATCATCGGACCTGGTGTAACGCAACATGACCTCCTTCAGTTATCGCACGTGAAGAGTTATGGGGCAGCTCGGTTCGACTCCTCGTGTCCCAATGTGGTGGCTGATAGATGTCTTGTTTTTTTCACCCCTCAGGAAGAAACAAAGTATTGGCATATCGAGAAGGAAAGGATTCAGCCGGAGTACAGTAATGAGGGGTGCAGTTCCTGTTCAACCCTCCAATGCGATTGAATCATCAAGGGGGGCGCTTCTTTGCAGGTTTTCGAACTTGGACAGATTCTCGTATACCACGCTTCATGCTACGTAGTAATAGGATTAAAGAGATTTATTTCTTCGCTCGCCCAGAATCTTCTACTCTGTGGACTCCACGGATGTCTGCAACTTCAAGTAGCACTTAAACATGAATCTGAAGGAAACCAATCTCCGTGGCCTCAGCTTTCCCTACGTTTCCGGGTCCGTTCATCACATCCTCGGCTAAATCCATTACGGCCGCCTCCGCTTTCGAAACCCAACCGCTACGGCTTTCGCATCTGCGTAGGCCACCGCACGACCTTGTTGGTATCCCATATAGTCCTTGTTTCTTCAGTGCGGAGTGAAAACGAAGAGAAAATCAACAACGCACCCGCTGAGAAACAGCATGATCGCTTCTCTTAATGACCCCATCGTGGACAGTGGTCAGAGATGCAGAGAGCACAGTAACGAAGGTGAAGTTCAATCATTAAATGCAGGGGTACTGAGCCGGTTTTATTTTTTTCCGCGAATCTATTAAACAGTAGGAGAAGGAAAATTCAGCTTTCCAACCATTGAACCAACTCCGCCGCGACGCGTTGAATCACGTGGTGGGAAAGCATCACATGTTCCAGTGGTTCAAATAACGCGGTCCCAACCCCTATCCAGGTCCTATCCCTCTAGAAGTCAAAAATTCGAACACTATGGGTAGAAATTACTACTATTGGACGCATGTGTGGCCTACTTCTTGTCTTGCGACTTCAACACTTCCATCTCCGCAGCTGACACGGCGCGGTTCTCCCGTTTCCAGATTTTTTCTTCTTCGGTACCGGGCATGGGCGGAGCCATACCGTTCTCATTCCAGAGTGTGCGCTGTGAGTTTCGCAACAGACATGAACATTCCATATCCGGGAGCCAAAGACGGAAAGGCAACGCACATCCGCATCGTTAATCTGCACCTCCCAGTCAATTCCTCGGCTCTTCGTGAAGGGTTCCAGAGCTCTCTCGTAGCGGTCCATGAACTCGCGTTTAGCCTTGTCACTGTGTGTCCCCCGTATTTAGTAGAGGATCGGATTCCAGATGAGATCCATCACTCAACTTGGAGAAGTTTCGCGCGTAGTGCTCTGCGCCGATACGCAGGAAGTTTCCGGTCGTCTCTCCGCCGACGAAGAAGCTTTCCGGTTCGAGCTCTATGAAAAGCACGACCACATAGAAGCGGGGGAGCATCCCGTAGACGTTCGTAACCGCGGCCGCGATAGCGACCTTGTCTTTGGGGGAATACATTCCCTTCGGTGTGAAGAAGCGGTGGAGAGGCATTGTTTTGAGGCTGGAGGTTGAGTGGGTTGGCTATTGCAGCATGAATTTGTTGAGTTTTTGTACGGACTCGGCCATGATCGGGAATGAGTTCGGGGTGGATTCGGGCATGCGTCAGGTTAGGAGACAGAGGGGAGATTGACGGGAGCATTAGTTATTTGCGGCGCTCACTGCCTGGTCATTACCCAAATTTCGTGCCATCGGAAGTTACTTAGTTAGCTCAAGATAGTCAAGTATCTGATTAGATATCTCCTCATACTGCGTTTCCTTTTTCCATTATTGAGGTGAGACCTGGAACCTAAGTCGGTACCAGGAATATACGGAATCTAAGCGAGATCAGATCGCGTCGGCGATCAGCGGCTGAAGATCTTCCAGCACTCTCCTGCCCACAACCATGTACCGTCGGATCGTCTCCCTGTGTCGATTTCCAGGCCCTTGCCAACAGTCGCCCTAGTCCTGCGATCCGCTTGCGACTTGTGCAGCGACCGGTACGCACGTACCCTCCGTCCCGTGTGGTTTCCGCGCTCTTCCATTCCCGTGTCTGCAGATTCTCGACGCTTTGTACATCGTATCTCTCGCATCGCTGATCTAAGGCATGTATTTATGTTCTTGCATTTCTTTCTTCCAATCTGCAGTCGCTCCGCGCCATTCCGCAGCCCTTCCGCGTCGTCTACCTCAAGACTTGAAGCCGCTATCTTCGCGCACCGCCGCGTCTGCAGCGCTCAAACCCCTGCGGGACGTCTTGCTCCCGTTCTTCCCCGGGCGCCTCATCCCCGGCGCCGAAGACCTTCTCGTGACCCACCGCCGCTCCAGCGCGGCTTGTGACTCGACCCGCCTCCGGACACGTAGGCTACACCGGCGACGAGACCACAGACACGCGCGCTGCGGACACGACTTGCACGGCCGCCCACACGCGCAACCGCTGCGTCCCTCATTTATCTCGGCGTCAAGCTCAGGCTACAAGAGGCACTGCAATTTCACGCCGCTGCTATTCAAGCCGAATCCCGGCATCCGTCTGCCGCAAAAGCTGTGGGAATAAAACCCAGCACCGGGCCGCCCCTAATTTAAGTAATGTCAGCACAGAATGCCGGCTTTGACTGAGGAATGGGATCAGGAAATACTGATCCAAGTTTAGGAATCGCGGAATACAGTGGGCTTTCCTTGTGCTATGGCTGAGCTGTGGATAGGGTTGGCGCTCAGAGAATTAGTAAAGGATCTCCAGTCGAATGAATAAGACGTGGGCATGGATTAACAAACTCGCGTGCTGGACGGCCAAAGTGAAAGGGGCATCAGCGACCAGCATGCCGCTTGTCTCATCCAGGTTCCTCGATGCTACGGCAACTTGTATCAAATCCAAATTCAAAGTCAACCTCGACCCCTACGCTATCTGCCGTACGACTCGGCGACCTTCCCTGCACGACCTTGGCACTCTTCCGTCCCCGTGTGGACCAGCCTTCTCTTCATCACCGGCAGGGCTAGAAAATCATTAGCTTAGAATGGAGCATAATGGAATTCGTATGTACGGTGATCGAAACCACCGGCCATTCAGTAAGCCCAAGCAATTTCCCGATCATAATAGATACGATGCCTATTTTTTACTCATTATTTTTTTAGTTTTCAGCCAGTCCAATATCTCTAAAACCGCAGGGTACAGAAGACGTCCACAGTATTCGGAGTAGCACTCCCAAACCCTTCATAATTACTTGATCTAACCCAGCATTTTTTAGCTCTGACCAAGTGAGCAAAATGCGCACTTACCTGGGTCTGTTTGTCCGAACTTTCGGAACTACATCAACCCCGGTCCTATTCTTCAGCCTGAGACGATGATGTTTGTGATATACTCTGAGAATGAGTGGACAGGATCATCTACCAGCGGCGATTCAATAAGCCCAAGCACCTTGTGCCTTCATTGTCGGCGAGCGGCATCCGGATCTACTCCACTGCGTTCAGGGCC